CCGCCTTTCTAAATCCAGTACAGAAAAGCTATTAGGCGTTTCAAAAAGTTCTGTCGTTTTCTGACACTCCACTTTTGGATGCTTTATTTCCCTTGAAATCTAGGAAAGCTGCAATTGATGTTGATGTCATTTTGAAGAGCTTTTCCAGCTCTATCCAATGCTTAGCTCAAGCTTTGTCCTAAAACATTTTCTTATAGCTTTTTCAAAGCTTTGAATGCGGTATACTCGATGAGCAAGTTGGCATGACTTTCTTTTTCTAGCTTTAAATAGACCTGAAAGTAGCGGGAACAGTTCAAGATATTAACGATGCACTTGGCCTAGATTCGCAATAAATGTGCTCATAGCAGTAGTTCGAAAAGTTATTGTAACGAAAGCGAGAGCCTTGGGTATGATGAGAGTGGTGGTCGGATATCGGACGTTGCCACCGATTAGCCAAAAGTTCTGATTGAGGCACTCGTGCGTAAGACCATAGAGGAGGTTCTGCCCAACCTGGGCGTATATGGTTTGTAGAGCCAAGCTATACGGAAGTAGCTGGAAAGTCCAAAAAATTTGATAGGGGCGTGCCGCGACAAATCACCAATTTGAAGGGTCGTCCATCAAATTGTCGCTTGTTTTATGTGATAAAGCGACTCGTTTTCTACAGATTTGCGACGTACAATAAAGAGCGGATTCTTCTCTACAGTCCACGAAGCTTTGCTGAATAGCTCGACGGCGATAAGCTCTACAAACTGTGCAAAACTTAAACTGTGCTGAAGGAGGGTTATGGCAACTTTCATAAGGTCGGCTGGCCTCTTCCGCATAACCAGGAACTGTTACAGTGGAAAAGCAGTCTTAACATTACGTCAAAATTCACCAAAAACTCCAAGACATGTGTCCAGCATTCCTCATTATAAAGGGGTGGACACATCCCTGAAAGGTGTCTTGAACGCACATCGCACCGCCAACCCTTCACAAGTTGGACCAGCTGAACTTCAGAGTGATTCTGCGAACATCTTACTTAGTAGACCTCGATTACCACTAAGGACAGGAGGCGGCTGCGCTGTCAAATACCGCCGCGGCAATGCACACACTGTGCTATACCTCACGCGCAACACGTTTGAAAAATGGAGATAGAGGTTTGGAACGTTTTAAAAACCATGTTCAATATGATTTATGACAGAAAGGAGTACACCACTGGCATTCTGGCCTTGGCACAAGTCTGCCAGGTAATTTGTGAATGTTTCACATCTCAAAGAACGATGTATCGGATCTTTCATCATGCCACTGTGGACTTAAAAAGGCTGTCAGCAGTTCATTTCTGCAATTTTTATTCTGCTTCTATTATATTAGATGGAGATACCACGACCGCAATAAAACTCGGCTCAATGTGGCTCTGGGGCCCAGCCTGTAGCATTGCGTCAGATTCACGAACACTTCCAGTCTTGGGACTAAGCTTTGAAAAAAAGGGAATCCGAGCTCGTCAGCAGTTTTCATTCGCTCCGGAGTTCCCTCCGTCTAGGCTTAGTCCCGCTGACCTTTTGAGAGACTGCCCTCCCCCTCCCCCGGTGGCACATTGCGCCTGAAAACATAGTATTAAGAAAGGCGGCAACTATAACGTTTAACGACCCTCCCCAGTCTACTGAAGGAAAGGTTGACTCCTGCGTACACCGTGCCACCTTAGGATCCACTGGTGCACAAAGGGTATTACTGAAGAGTTCGATGGTCTAGTCCTTTTTCTGTGAGTTGAAACGACCCATATGATGTGACGGTGTAATAGGAGAACCACCATCTGGATTTAGTTCTTTCATCACTAACAATGACACATGCAAGATTTCGTATATTCCGGAAACTGCGTCTTTTCACACAGTAGCCACCTTAGGCTAATCCATATACAGGTCAACCAAACCCTTCAAACCTCAATTCTTCTTAATTCCAACTTCCATGTTCCCAGCAGAACCAATCCGCCTACAAGACGGTCATATTCGCATTTGCCGAAACGTTAATCACGTAGCAACTCACCATTCCCCATTTAGACCCGTTGCGCGTGAGGTATGGCACAGCGTGTGCATTGCCGCGGCGGTACATTTTATTTTACGGCGGCAGCCGCCTCCTCTCCACAGCGACGATCTCGATAGCTTCCTTGGAGAGAAATGCATCAAAACCCAACATGATGCCAAAACGACCTTCCCTCAGTTCATCGCCTCAACAGCTCCAGCATTCTGAACAAACGTTCCCAGTAGAACGGTTCTTATAGAGAAAGTTCGCGCATTCGAATGGTTTTTTAATCAGCTCGAAAGGTTTGGTTTATGCCGAGATACATGCATTTACAATTCCGGGGTCGCAAATGAACATAAACTCTGGAGCGCCTAATATTATGAAGCACTCAAGTCCAAATCTAAATTCTAAGTGAGTTTTACACCACAGAAAAGCTGGCATGTCGTACAATCCACATCCAGTAAGAATCCCACCAAACAATTTGATTTAGTTCACATAGTGTAGGCTTCGACTTAAAAATCTAAAATGATGTTACAAGTGAAATGATGTCAATAGCAATGATGATTCTAGCACTATTTAACAAAACACTAACTTCTGATGTGGGTTCGAGAATTGTGTAGAATTTGCTTTGGGATGGGAAGTTTCCAAACTTTTGACGCGCCATTTCTTATAAAAAACCGTATTTTTCAATAGCGATCTTCGATTTGGCGAAAGCATGTTGCATCGTAATTCTGCACTTGATTTTGTATGTAATATGTGAATTTGGAACAATTTCGTTGTCTACTGGCTGCACTAGATCAAAAATAAAAAAGTTTCCAAACTTTTGACCGCCACTGTTCAATTAGACAGCCGGCTTTCCGTTTGATTGTAGCTTGTGACACGATGTGCGACAAAATCAAAATACTAGCCAAGCAAAGTTGCCTTCCTGGCTGAATCAACAATGCCAGACTGAATTCGCGGGTAAAAAACGGTGGTTAATGAAAGTGCGGATGGCGGGGTTACTGCAAAAA